CAGTGTTACTTTCTATCCCTGAACAACAAGGAGTCTTATGGGACCCTAAAGATTAACAACTGTATTATGCGATAAGCTTTTGTGGACTGTAGTCTACTCTATCAGATGTTGCCTAAATATTCAAACAAATAAACAAACAATAGAATACTCTCAGGAGACAGTTGGTCTAATTTCATTTGCAAAAAGAAATATCAAGTGATACTGTGCAAACTAAAACTAGGCAACAAAGGTAGGGATGGAAGTCTTATAATGAATACTTCTGTGAAAAGGAGAATTAGCACTAAAAAGGAATCCTGCTCATTTAGTCTTCATGGGCTGTAGTTAATGCTGCCCCTGCATTAGCAGAGCCCCAGGAAATTCTTGCCTGTTCGAGGGTTAGCTAAGATCACTTTAACAGCTGAGTTACACAACCAGCTGATTTCCATACTTGTGCAATGGAAATCTTGAATAAACTATTATTATTAATATAAATTTATAGTCTCTTGCCCTTTAGTCAGATGCAAAAAGCTTTTCTCCTCTTGCTTCTGTTGAAAAGTCTTTTGGAGAAGAGCTTTTACAGTACAAGATGACAAACAGTTCAGAATTTTCCTGTGACATGAGAGCTGTGTTTTATGAAAGGAGGCAATTCAGTTCGCACAAGGAAGCTATCATCACTTTAAGGGAGCCAGAAAAATTCTTACCAATGTGACATGCCAGGCACAACAACAAGAAAATTTTACTACATTATGTTTTATTGTATGTGAAGCTGTCAACCCATCCATAAACATTTGAAAATGGATTATTAGTGGCAGAAATGGGATTTAGTAATGTGCGCCAAAAGTATTAACTAAAAGCGTATTAACGAAATCATTGAATAAGATACATGAGAATATATAACCATAAACAGCAACAATGTTTAAGGCATAGCAGGAGGAAAAATGGGGTATTGCCAAGTTCGATGGAGGCATGCAAAGAATGCTGACATGTTTAAGGAACTCCATGACCTTTATTTAAAAAATCTCTGGTAATTGTTCATGTTCGTGTGCATTTAAATTATATTCTTGTACTGTGGCAATTAACAGATTTGTAGCAAATATAGACTTAGAGAGCTCTAATGGTTGCACAAAAACTCATACTGCAGGCTTGGAATGATAAACATCCATCACCTATCAGTGGTCTGAAGATCATACGGCTTTTGCTGTAGTTGAACAGTCATCAATTTTCTCTGGATGTTAATTTAACTATATAGATTTCTTCTGCCACTGTACATTTGAAGTGCTGAATCTTAATTTTTATCTTTCCTTTTTTGTATGTATAAATGAAGTTGTGAATACTTATAATTGTGAATAATTATTGTGAACATACACACTTTTCCGCCATGCTCTTGGTAGTTGTTACTTTTTCTTTCTCGAGTTTCTGCTTTAAACAAGAAGGAAGGTGGGGGGGGGGGCACGACAGAAAGGTGGGCAACTGGACCTATTCAAACGTTGGCACAAATTGGGAAGGCGGCATCAAAAAAGCCTAAAGGCAAAACAACACCACAGACTGGAGCTTTGGAATTATGGGTGTGTGTATATCATACTGCTACGACTGTAAAATGTAGGGCAGTATCCAATGGTATTATCTCAGAAACTCAAATACTGCTAGGAAGGTCTGCTGAGCTTGCTCAATTGATTGTGCAACAACTGAAGTTACATTTATGCACACATGTTTCTGCATTATGCTTATGCAACCTGCTATGTATATCTATTTAACAAGGGGTTGTACAAGAGATATGTGCAACAGATTGCACAACGGGTGGCACAAGCATAATGCACAACAAGCAGCACAGCCATAACTTTAGTTGCAGTCTTCTTTTGCCCACAGATCAGAACCTAGTTTATGTGAATGCATCATTTGTGCTAATGGAAGAACACTGTTGGATCCTGTTCCTCGGCACTTTAAACTGTGCATGGATACTAGGAGGACCCTAGTGATGTGCAACTTGAGATTACTTTGTTCTCAAAATGCATCAATTCCTTTTAAGTTAAATGCAACTGTGTGACTGAAGTCAGCAGAAACATTTTCAACCTTACAAATGGCTTTGCAAACCGTACCATTTGAAGCCATGGGAAATTAGCAGGCCAAATGACAAAGTGGTAAGCCTGCCTCCTCTCCTCTCCTGCAGAGCATCCCCTCCTTAGGGAAAAGGAGCAGGCAGAATGCATCCCTTAGAAGGTGTCGGGGTGCCCTATGGCAAGGACTGTGACTAGAATAGCTTTACTCAGGTGGGTTGGGCACAATTTGTTTGACTTTGACTGATGCGTAAATTTGATTGTAGGCTAGATAAAGTTACCCCACAGAACATAATCATCCAAGGTCCTGAGCATATCACATTGCCATTTTTTAAAAACAAATTCTCAAGCAAGTGCCTCTGGCTGGATGGAGAAGACTAGCTGGGAACGGACTATACTCTGCATAGCCATGTATGTCCTAAGGAAGCTGTTGAATCAGTTTGCCAAGATGGAAGGAACATTTCACTTTCCCTCAGATACAGCTGTATAAGGAAACGGTTTTCCGTATCCCTCAGAAGGCCTATGACAAAAGGAGCTGCCAGAGCCTAATCAATGATTAAATGTGGGGGGTGCATAGTGATAAGCTTTTTCTAGGATGATCTGCCAATAATTTTATGAATCAACAGTGATGTAGGCAATGCCACGCACATGATACAGCACCCTAAACCAAAACAAATGACCACCCGTACCACATCCACTGTGAAATATCTCAGTATATTTAATTGCAGAGAAGTTTTGCTACCTTTGTTGCAGAATCTGATCTACCAAGTCAGGTTTTTAATGTGTTATTCCTCCTATCCTCTTGGCACCATGGCCAGTCCCTCAGCCCCTCAACTCCACCACTCCACTTCCTAGGAAGGAGCAACAGCACACTGCCAGGTCAACAGCAAGCAATGAGGAGAAGACAGGAAGGGAGGGTGGTCTCTGTCCACACTCAAGAGCAGGCCAAAAGCAGCTCCTGAAATATGTTACTCTCCCAAGGGTTCGGGCTGGCTTCAAGTTGACTGGTGCTACTTCCTGACTTTGGAGAAGTATTTTGGCTTATTTCTAGGTCAAATTGACATGAGCCGGCTCATATAGGAAGGGACTGGACAAGGAAAAGCTCACCCATTCCTAGTTCTTCCAGACCTATGGCTGTTTCAGCAGGAGACTTATTGTTCTAATTATCCAACAACTGAAAGACAAGCTTACAAGATAAGCTCAACTTTTCTGCTTTCAGGTAATGTGAATGGACGTGAAGATGCTCCTCTCCCTGCAAGTTCTGGCGTGGAAGGAATAAGACCAATGAGAGCCAGAAAAGCCCTGCAAGGTCAGATCTGCAGTCTTTTTATACCAGCATTTCTAATTAGTTGCGTATATTTTATTCTGTGATATTTGGCTCATTCATAATCCTTTTTCCAATGCATTTGGATTTTTGAAAAGGATCACAATGGTGTTATTTTAATGGGCATATTTTGTGCTGTGCAGCAACAATAAATACATTTCCCAAGAGAGGAGATTTTCAACACTGCATTCCTAATTTTGTTTTTATTAGGGTCATTACTTCTATTTATTCCTTCTTGTCAAGAGTCTTAGTAAACTATGAAGTTTTATATTAGGGCAATTGCATAACTGCTAATTGCTATATATTTAAGGTGCAAATAAAGCTTCAGTTCAGAATTCAGAAGTGCTGTCTTCTGCTGGTTAATTTGCTTAATAAAATGGTTGTTTTATGGATTCATTTTACACTGAAGGCTATAGTATCATTAATTACAGGAGTTCAGATGGAAAGAATGACAGACATGATATACACAATGAGTCATGTCATGAAACAGAAATCTTAGGTGGGGAGATTTACCGCAGCACAAGGGTGAGCTCAACAGACCTTATGTAGCACTGATACGCGGCTGCTTGGACCAGCTACCTGCTGGCTGCAGCATCAAGACCTGCATGCCCAAACTATGCAGGGCACTGCTTTTATAGCAACACAGCGAGCGCAGCTGTGCCCAAGCTGTTTGTACTATTTTTTTCAGCGCATTACTCAACTCTTTGGGCTTTTCTACAAGGAGAAGGAGGCTGCTAATTCACAGTATCGACTTCTGGGTTGGGGGCAGAATTCAGATGTGAGCACTACGCAAGGAGCATTTCCTTTCCTGTTTTTCTGCTACAGGATCACTAGGTGGCCCTGTGTTATAGCAAAATGAAACACATACACAGAAGGACACTGCATTTTTTTTGCTTTCACAATTAAAACCTATGATTTCCCTGCTCTAAATGACCTTCTACAATTGCGTTTAGGCAGAAGCAAAACTGGAGTGTCATGATGTTGTCTAAAGAATCCTTAAACAACCGTAAGCAGTGAATAGTGAGATTGCAATAAATGCTCCATGCAAAAAAGCCCTTTGTGGCACTCCCTAAACTTCTGGTGTGTGCATTTTAACATCAGTCTCCTAATGCACTGCACTCCAGATGTGCTGTTTATTTTCCCGGAAACACACAGAAATTTAAACAATTACACATATTTTTTGTTTAAGTGGATGAATGCTATATTCCAGAGCTACCACTCTCCCTGGTACTTTTAATTATTCTGATTCTAAGCACATGTACAGTTTGGACATTTTAGACGCTGCAGTTTTATGTATGTTTAGATGGGAAAAAACATACCTGGGGGGACTTTTTCTGTCTAAACATGCATAAGATTGTACCCTTAATTGTCTTATGGCCTCCTCCTCATTTAGAGGGCAATGTGTGTTATTTTACTTCTGCAAAATGTGGCAAGGCAATCCTATTGCATCTGGGAGCTCCTCTGCTCATTCTTTTGAACAGACCTCTTAACTGCTAAACCCAAATCCTGCTCCAACTGTACCTTTGATTCTAAATGTAATATCCCAGAATATAGGATTAGAAGGGGTGACAATGCTTTGTTATTTCCCTTCAGGCTACTTCTCAACCCTGTGTAGCAACATAAGATACTGTGGAAAGTCCTACCTTTCCAGGAGCACACATGGTTCCATCCAGTGGAGGTCCTTTTTTTGTTTTGCAGAAATAAGGGTTGTCAGGATGGCTACACCAAAGCTGTTTGCACGGATCAAAGGTGCGGAACTAGAATGAAAAGAGTTATGGTCATAAATTCCTTGTTGAGAATTTTTGTACATCTAACACTCAGAAAATGGCACATTTCAGATACCAGACTTGAGTTTATGAAGATTAGAATGCATCAGGATAAGCTAGGCTTGAATTTATGATGGTATAAATGAGGCTGCTAGTTCACGGTGACAATAGGAAATTATAGTAAAAACCATGGACAGTGCGGCATGGCTTCCAGAAGACACCCTGGCTTCAGCCACATTCTGATGCTCTGAAGATTTGGTTACAGGAAAGCGTAAGCACTAGTGCCCTCCCTCCTGAAAAGTATCAAAATGACCACCAACGTGAACCTAGTTCTGTCTCCATTCAACCTCAAACAGCTCCATTTTGCTCATCCAACATCCTCCTCCCACAATGGCTAGACACTGAGTAAGCACCAAGGTCACAGTTGGCTGAAAAAGAGAGGGCTTCATCAGAACTGCGATACAATATTTTCCCCAGTACGGTCTACTGAGGTTGGTCCATGATGTAATTTTAATTGCTAGCACAGTGAATTATTCATTGAATGTTCTTAATAGGTTAAATCCTGCATCACAATAGTAGACATCCACTAGTGTAATAGGACTTTCTCCTTCTTTCCTTCCCTCTACTTCACACATCTGCTTCACACAAAAACCTGTTTTGGATCTTGGAGCAGTTTTTGGTATGGAACAGTTTTTGAGGCCATCCTGTGGAGCTGTGTGGGTGGAAGGGCCTTCTGATGAAACCAGTGGATTGGGACCACTGGATACAACCCACAGTGAATTTTGCAGTTTGTTCTTCTTTTGTTCCATGAGTACTTCTTTCTCGTAAACACCACCTTGAGAAGTGTGACTAGGTGATATAGGCCTTGAAAGTGCTGGTATGTGTGAATGTGTGCATGGGTCCATATGAATGGCTCGTGAGCTGAAGAGCACCCTACCCCTCAGCAAAGGCCTGGACTGGATATCATGGAAAATGACTTCAGCAGTTCAGCAATAGTAGATTCTCCCCACTGAGAGAAACAGGATGAAGATTAACAATATGTTGGCACAAACTGCATCTTCTTTTCAGGGGAACACAGTATTTATAGTACACATTACACAGATGTAGTTTTAATTCCAGTTCTCCTTGCACATAAACAGTGATCACAGCAGCTGGAAGCTGTTTTGTGTTTGACTTAAGTCCTCATTGGAGGAAACATACACTGGGCTGCGAGAGAGTGGGGGGTAAATCTCTACCAGGTGTCCTAAAGACCACATTACCAAGATGTTAAGCTGATGTGTTTGTTACAGGAAGATGACAAAGGGATCATAGCTGTCACACAAAAACATGTGAAAGCAATCTGATTCCCTATGCAAAGTCGTCAGTGTAAACATAGTTCACCAAAATGGAATAAAGATATGGAATACAACAGACAGTAGATAAGCAAATGATGACAGCAATGAATATTCCAGGCTGGAGCTTTGCTCCTACGGGCTGCTTTAATTTCTAATCTGCTCCAGAGACTGAAAGATCATTCTCAACAACAGCTGAAAATCACCCAGTCTTCCATTGCTGGAAGCCTCCACTGAAGCAGTGAAGGAACGTCAACTGCACACCACGAAATGCTCTTTGGGAAGAATGCAGGAGGGACACGGGCACATTCATGATAAGAAGCCAGCGCCAGCAGTGCTGGGACTCCTCCTTGAATTCACTGCTGTGCTTATGTGCACCATCCCCATGCACGAGTGTGATCAGGACATATACGTGTAGTTTTGAGGCAGCTGTGATTTCAAAAAGAACACTGGTTGCTGTATAGAAGATGAATTACAGGAGAAACAGGCCACCCGAATGCTAATCGACTGCAGAAAACTTACTGAAAGCAGATTGTTTTCATAGTTTTATGTGGATGACAAATGCGGCATATTATATTTATCTCAAGGAGAGTGCATACCATCCAGACGTTACTATTTATTTGTTAGACTTATTTTCTGCTAATCAGCCCTGAAGATCTAAATAACTCCTGTATGGAGCTGGCAGAAGCTCTTTTTACTTTATTATTTAATATCTGGAATTTTACATAAGTTGTTGGAGATAAAGAAGCACAGCTCAGTGTCCTAGACCGCTTAGGTGTGGCTTTAGAAAAGTCCTGGGAGTCGTGAGCTGGAAACAGATTGTGTCATTCTGACCACAGCATTTTCAGTGGCCACACTTGGGCACAAGCTTTCTTCCAATGAGGCCCATCTCACTTCCAGAATGATCTTTGCAGGAGGCCATTTGGTGGGCAGTTTCAATCTGCTTTAATGGTGCTCGGTTTTAAATATCTGGACTGCTGTTGCACTGTGTTCCTTTTTTCCATTTTGGTGCATTTCTCTTTTTCTGCTGTGTGTTTCTATGTTTGTGTTTACGTTACATTTTAAGTTAGCAGGGTGATTTCCCCCCCATTAAATCACTGACTTCTTGTAAGCTGTGTGGAAATCTTTAAAGGTAAGGTAGGATAGAAATGGTTTAAAGCAAGCAAGCAAGCCAATAATGTTTCTTTTGCAAATGTTGAATGGGACATGTATGTGTGTGTATTTAAGATTTTTGTATCCCGTCCTTCACAGTGTCTCAGGGTGGCAGGAGTCACATTAATACCTCTTAAGAAACCATGATAGAGAATCTGAGCCTGGGCTATCAGTGGCTATTGAGCGTGGGAGATGCCTACTGCCTCCACTTAGGGATGTATGAGAATTGAATTGAAAATTCAATTCATTTGAGCGTTCCCTGCTTACAATCCCACATGCAAATAGGAGTGTCTTTTTTCCCCCAAAATTGTTTTCTTTAAAAATATACAAATATTCACTCTTTAGTCAATAGGGGGAGAGCGCACACATATGAAAGATGTGCATTCTTCCTGTTCAAAATGTTCACTTTTCTTGCTTAAATAAAAAACAGATTTAAAAATGGGTTGTAAACAAGAATGGGAGTGAAGATGAGCTGAGCTACCAAGTGGGGTTCGGAGACTCTCAGCCAACTCGAACACTACTGGCTTTCCCATCCCTGCCTCCAGTATCGAAGGCAGCATGCTTGTCAATGCCAGTTGCTAGGTAACATGAGCTATTGCATTCTTGTCCTGCTTGTGTGTTTCCCACAGGCATCTAGTTGCCAGTGTGTGAGCAGAATGCTGGTCTCATCCAGCATGGCTTTTCTGATGTCCATGTTCACCTGCACGTAGTACCATACTTCATAAGAGAGAACAGAAGTCATTATACAAGTGGAGCTTAGAACTTTGTCTTGAATTTATAGCAGTGCAACACAATCCACCTCTGGCCATGTTCATTCAGTTTTCAAAACCTTCCAATAAAATTAGAATGACATAATTTCTGGGGTTCCAGTTTCAAAAATGGTAGATTGACATGACCTTTTGCTACACCTTGGTGTTTGCTGGGAAGGCTTTACTTTCTGGCAGCCACACGCTTTGCCTCTTAGTGCTAACACCTGTCGCAAGCCATTTCAGGACAGCTGCAAGGGACGTGGGTGCCTACAGCAGGTTCCGTGCAGTACTCACAGCTGTGCACATCATGTAGCCAAGTCCAAAATCAAACCGGCACTGCTCATTCATGGAGTAGTGGATTCCTGGCAGCTGCGGAAGGGATGGCCAGTCATGGTCAAAGGGATCGTCATGCAAACAATCATAGGAACTGCAATAGGCAAAAATGTCAGTTACAGATGGAAATGTGAGACCTCTGTAGCACTTGGGGTTTTCATTTGCAATTATTCCAAGGGCATGTTTTCACAATTCATAGTTATTAGTACACAAGTTACAGAGCATATGATATTTCACTGTAGCGAATTTACATCTAAGACAAGACAACATGTTGTCTATTGATATGGCACTGACGTAGAGGAAGGTTTTGCAGCATAAAGAATACCCCATGGAACCATCTGAAACTAAGCAAAACTCACTAGAAATAGGAATGAGTCATTTTCCCTCCAAGTAATATGCTGTTTTTTGTTCTTCCATTCATCTGTTTGGTAGGTAATGACTCAGGAGCTTGTTTTCTCCTGCTTTTTAAAACTTGGGGTTATAATTGTTCTTTCTTTATGTTGGATAACAGTTTATCTTCTGTTATGTATTGACCACTTGTAGCCTTTGGCAGGTTGCATTTTTTTTTAAAAAAACATTGTTTACTAAAACTAAAATGAATGTCCACAGGGGGAAAACAGGGATAAATGCAAAGGCTTTAATTAAATTTCCATTTGTGAAATTTGTGCCAGCATTGTGTGTTTTATGTAAAACTTTAACCACAACGGCCAAATGTACTTATCCCTCACAAATAAATTATTGTGTGCCTGAACCCAGGAAAAGGGAATGTACAAGCCAGTGCTCGTTTTGCTCTTTTAGTACTCTGAACAAACTTGCTTGAAAATTGTCCTTGGCAAGCCAGTACAAATGCAGGGACAGGCAACACTTGTACGGAAGAATCAACTTCCCCAGAAAATGCCCCGGGTTCTCCCCGTCAGTGGGCTGAGCTTCAGCTTCAGAGCTTGAGGACAGCAAATGGGAGGCCATTTGCAGTGAAGGATGGGGAAGCAGGGAAAAGCGAAGCACCTCCCCTCCCACTGCTTGTGTCCTGCACATCCCTACATCACCAGCTGCCTCTGTATTACCAGGCAAACATGGACTAGGGACCTCTGCTCAGATTATAATTCCACTATGGGTAGATCTGCTGTTCTATACAGGCCAGGCCATGAAGAGTTTCGCAGGTCTTCCATCCTGACCAGACTGATGTACTGTCAGTGTCTGTCAGAAACCCCTGGCTTTGCTCTTCCTCCTCACCTTTGCAACCGGTTGGTTCACCCCAAACCCAACCCCAACCCTTACTCTGACCCATAGAACAGTGGTGCAAGTAAGGAGGAGGAGCAGGAGATGCCAGGATCCTCTTGTTCACTGGCTCTCTGCCTGTCAGCCAAGCAGGTGGTAGCAGTGAGGAGACAGAGGGTGAGGCACAGTTGAAGCTGGTGGTGGCAATGGAGGAGAGGCGGCAGGGAAAGGGCCCATTGAGCACGTCTTACTCAAGCACCATCAAAAACAATCTGTGTTGGCCTATCCTTGCCTGAGTACTAGGCCTGGCTCTATGTGTTGGTTATGAGGTCGGAGGCCCCAAATGTCCTGGTCTCTGATCGCCTTGGGGAACATTTCTTTCTATACTAATCCCTCTGCCTGTTTAGATCTGCCAACAAAACTTAGCCCCAGAGTTCTCTGCTACATTAATTGAAATATGTGACTTTTTATCAGCAGCGGATGTTACAGAATCACCTTCAAGAGCAGCCCCATGTAGAGTACACTGCAATTGTTATCAATGCATGCATGACAATTACATGGATAGCGCCCATGGTATCCATGCCTCGGTTTCAAACGATGGCACCATACATTTATGTTAACAATGAATTACCTTCATTCATCAAAGGACCTTTTTGTCTCTGTTCTTTTTTTTTAAAGCTGGTACAGGCTGACTTAGTTTAACAAATGTAACTTCAAAGAAAGACTGGCATTTTACAAAAATTACATTTATGCCCAATTATTTTAATTGATTCTTGCCGGAAGCCACTCCTAAAAACTATTGCTTAAAGAAAACTGAAAATAATCTTATACTGAAGATTGAGAAATGTAGCTTTTTGCCATGTTACCCATATATAGACCATTGTACTATTTGTAATGTCATCATAATCTTCTCAGGAAAAAAGTCTCATTATGTTCACTAGGGCTCTACTGTTGAATAAGTCAGCACCAAGTAAAAGGCTGTAGGACTGCAGCATTAATGTATGCTTTTACTGGCTTTCATCCCCTAAGTGTGGTTCTCGTTTTCCTAAGTTGTCTTTAACCCCACATTTTATACCTAATGAAATGATGGCATGTAAGTATTGCACAAACCCAAAATCATAGATGCCTCTTCATCACAGTACTCACTGAAGGTATCGGTTCAGCTCCTGCTGGCTACACCGAGACCAGTGGAAGCGGTGAAATGCAGCCTGGACAAGAGGGGCCATTATGCTTCCCATTCGGACTTCATCCCCACATCGATTCCCTTGCCCATCATGTTCCATGCCTAGTCTAGAGGGGAAAAGTGGCACAACAGAGCCTGTTAGTCACTGTTTTTCTTATCATTCTAATAATAACTCTAATGACAACAGAGATCTTCCTATTTTGTGACTTTTTAATTGCTTTTATTTTTTATGTTTCTATAAAACCTTCCTCTGGGAAGCTCAGAGCAGCTTACCTGGGAGTGGTCTCTTTTCCCGCACTGACCAAATCCTTCAACAGTGTTAGAATTCCCCAGTGCATTTGCCAGATCAGCCTTTCCCACCTGGCATCCTCCAGATGTGTTGGGTTGTATGGCATTCTGCCCAAACAGGATGAGAATTGCTGCCTGACACAACTGGAGGGCATTCTGGTAGGAAGGCTGCTTTCGCTCCATTTTGTTAAAGAACTAAAGTTAAATTATGTTGGAGGCTTCATAAAGGAGATGTATTGCTCAGTGCTAATGCTACAGACATAGCTTGTGAAGCAATATGTCATTCCACCTGCAGTGAATGCCCTTTTACTCTTTCTTGTGTTCTCTTCAATATTCAGGCAGAAATGAAGATCAATGCATAAAGAAAAAGGAAGCCAAATCAACTGTAGGAATAATCCTAACAGTCCTAATATAGACAACTGAGGATTCCTAACAGGACAAAGGAGCCGCCAATAATTCCTAAAAGAAGAACAGAAATGTGCCTGCAGGCGTTTTCTGGGGAAAGTATAATAGAAAGTGCTGAGGAAATAAGCCTCTTGACAGAGAGATATCACTAAAATGTAGGAAGATGAAATAGCAAATGAAAAAGGAATGAGTTGTAAAACTGGTTGCCTTTCTATTTTGTGCCTTCGCCACAAAGAATCCTTTCTTCACGATCTCTCTCATTTTTATTAGAATCCATTTTATTAGAATACAACACCTTTCCAATAATGTTTTCTCCTAAATGCAAGAGCTCTAACATCCCTGCCTGGTATAGCTTCCCCATGTATCTAAATGGAGAGAGCCAATCCGCCTTGCATTCATTGGCTCTCTCCACTGAACTGAATGGAAACAGCTACTGTCAGTCATGCAGCACCACTGCAACCAAGTGCTACTTACACATGTCCAGTTTCATGAGCCACAACAAATGCTGAGGAGAAGCCATCTTCATGGTTAAGTGTGCAACTTCGGACTGGGTGACACATGCCAGTAACCGGAGCATATCCTAATAGGGAAGAGATTAGATTTAAGATACCAGAAAAGGGAAGTGGCAAATAACATGAAGGGCACAACCGGGCAGGAATCTTTGCATCAGAACTCTTATTTACCCAAATGGGAGATGCAGAAGAGACAAGCAGATCCATTGCAATTAGCAGAAGCTGTGCTTGTATGCAAAACTTACTCACCTGAACAAAGTTTGTGCAGGAAAGTTTCTGGGTGTTTTGTAATCTAAGGGGTCAATCTGCAAAGATTACAGGTGTGGACAAAGAGACTGCTCAACAAAGTCCAATTTGTTTCAGTGTGAAAGAGTGGCAAGCTCATTCCTTCCCCGCTGCCTTTTTCTCCTCCCCTTGCATGACTGGCTGCAGAGGATCATTCATATTCATGAGGGACCTGCCCTTTGGGGAGGGCCATTTTGGTTCTGCTGTGTACCACAGGAATGTCATCCAAGATGCCTTGCGGCCCACAGAATTTTCTGGAAGATTTCCACTATTGATCTGAATGATGACAAGTATGTGCTTCATGAGATAGTTAGATGACGCTGAGATGGTATGAAATATTTATGTAGATACTTTGAGATTATGAAAAGAAGCCGTAAGTTACTCATCTTGGTGAGTGTTTGGTTTGTTGACATCCACAAATTACCTTTTAATCTTTTAGACTCCCAAAGAAGGCAGCACTGCTAGAAATGGTTAAATAATTAAGGATGCAATTCTATGCATCTTCAGACATCAGAAATCCCGAGTCCTTGTTAAGGGGGCATGCTGGGAATTGCATGACTTTTTTCTTTCTAAACAGTCATAGCATTGTGCTTTAAGGTTCCTAGAATAGAGAATGATTGGAAACTTTATTCTGGTTCAGATATAATGGGGGCATTTGGCAAATCACACTTTGTTTATGCTAAATGAACAACAGGGCTGGCTGCTCCTCCTCCTCCTCCTCCTCACTTTTCTCTCTCTCATGCCTACTTCTAGAGGAGATTGGTTTCTTGGTTTCTTAAACCATGGTTTCCTACAAAACTGTGATTGAAGAACAAACCGGGATTAGAAATTAGGATCAAAATACAGTTTGCAATCCTGGTTAGTAGGTAGGTTTCCAGTCTAGATGCAAGGCGCTAGTTTAACATTCAAAGTCCTAAATGACTTGGGGTCAGGTTATCTGAAGGAATGCCTCTTCTCAGACCCTGAGTCATGTACATGCAGTGCACGCTTTGACACCACTGAGATAAATGTAGACATCTTCAAGAAAGTGGTGTGGGTTACTGGGCGACTTGGAAAACTCTACTGATCAATCAATCTATGTATCACTTTTCTAAGGAATTAATCCTATGGGCCCTAGGCATTGTCTGGGAGCCATAGGATATTTCAGATTCCTAGATCCAAGGCTGGAGACAGAGTTCCAAACACAAAGCTGGGAATCTGCACTCCAACCTCCCTCCCCTGCCTCACAGTTGAATTGGAAAGAGCCACACTGGCTGCTTCTCTGAGCCTGGAAAAGTAAGGCAACCTTGTAGAGGTAAGGAAAGACGCAGTCCAATGGTGGGGAGTGAGGTGATTGTAGAGGCCAGGATATGAGGCATGCCATGTCTTTTGCAGCCTACAGCCCTCACCTTCCAAAGCTAGATGAAGAACACTGGCTGTCTTGCAAAAATGCAGAGACTGAGGAACAGGGAACTGAAGAGCACCTCCATTGCTCCTCCTGCTTCACCGGAGATAATTGTCAGCCTCTCTCTGAGTTTGGCAACTGATGGCTGTCTTAGTGGGACTGCTCCATAAATGTACCAAGCACAACTCAAATGGCCCTCTCAAAAGGGCTGGTTCATTATCACAAGGAACATTTTAACATAATCACTATTATGCTCAGCTTTTACCTCTCACAGGGCCAAGAAGATGCTGGAGAATTTTGTCCAGTCCACATTTTCAAGCAAGCTAACCTATTTCACTCTTGCCAAGCTAATATGCAAATCAGAACATTTATCCTTCAGACTGAACACTTCTTGAAATTTGTGTTGTTCCTGAGGCTCAAAATGCATATTATAGGGGGGCAATGCACAGGATTTAAATGCAAGGTGTGTGCACTTTTCACTTCTCAGAACATAGGATGCAACAGTCTAACGACTGAACATATGCAAAAGTGACGCAGACCAGCAATGGACTGATCTACACATTGCCATAGACATATGCACTAAGCCACAAAACCAATAGCCAGGAAAGTCAAAATTATGTGAGTGAAATAAATGATGCTGATGAGCTAAATGAGCATGCCTCAAGGGCACCAAGCCCCTGTGGTCCACACCGCAGGGAAACAAACAGGATTTTGGACACAGCCTGTGCTGAAGGACCATTAGCCAGCTGAAGCAGCAGGCAGCCTTACCCGCCGACCCTTGGCCGGCTGAGCAGACCAGGGGTTAGGAAACAGAAACAGCAAAGAGCTAAGATTTTCAGTCATGCAAAGGAAGAACAACAAGAAGAAATACGGTTCTCTGGAGAAATAACTGGGCAGTTAAAAAACAGTACTTCTGGAAATTTCCTGCCTATGAAATACACGCAGTCAGAGTTATATTTGAAAAACTGATCAGGCCTTCCAACTGAAAAAAGCTAATCTCTGTTTCCCAAACTACTTGCACTAGTCTGCTAATTGGTAAGAATTCTTTGGTTTAGTTAAGGATAAAAATGATTACAAAAATATCCCTCAAATGCCTTTTAGGCTGAAAAGTCAACCAGTTACTCCCAACCCTCCACAGACTAACTGCAGAGGAATAGCAAAGGCTTGATTGTTTATTCCTGTAAGATCCAATATGAGGGTGGTGGGAGGGGGGTGTTCTTCTGTGAGAGAAGCAGGGGTGGTAAAACACAGGTCTGGAGGCCAAGTCTGGCTCTGCTAGGGTCCGAAGTCTGGCCATCTGAAGTTCTCCAGAAGGCCATGACTCCTGCCATCTCTACACTTTCCTCCTCCTAGTTTTATGCAATTCTTCAAAAAGGGTAAAATGTCTCTCCTAAGGCTTAGTTACTGGCATTATATGTTTGAGGCTACAACCTGCAAGAGATTTTCTTTTTGTTTTTCTTTGGTAGTTTGCCTGCACATTTTTTGGCTTCTATTGCAATGAGGCCCCCAAGATCCTTTCTGAATTTGAATTTGCTTCCTGGGCTAAAAGAGGTTCCCCACCCACCATGTGACATTTGCAAGTTGGGCTGCCCTTCAGCACAGAACTTACCTTGCATACCAGAAGGCCCAAAATCCTGCCTGGTGAGAAAAATGGCATGATCGTGATACTCTGCATGTCCTGCATCAGGCTTCTGCTGTAGGTAGGCCCAGCGACACACGTTCTCTAAACTCTGAGAGGGGTTACCGATCTCAATTAAACTCATAGACTAGATAACGAAGAAAAAATTAAAAAAAGAAAGAACTGGTTACAGTTTCTTTTTAGCCAAGATTCTGCAGCATCTTGTATTCCAGCAAGACTGTCCTACACTCCTTTTCATTCTATGACTCAGCACATTTGTTCAGATCTATACCAACAGATGATCATGGTATGGAATTTGAGATTCTCTCTATTCTATTTTCCCAGACCCAAAGCAAATTGACCTTCACTGATGCGATGGATGTTAAGTTGCCTAGAGAGCTGCTGCCAGCAAGCGACAGGATTCAGACAGCACACCAGTGCACACTCAAGGGTTGTGCCCAGGTTGAGGGTGACTTGGCAGGTTGTTGTTGAAAAGCAGGCTACTGAGTGTCCTGAACTCAGCAGTGCTAACAAACCATGGTGAACAACCCACCATTTACAGCTCCCAAAGAAGCCACAGGTTCTCTTCATGACTTGCTTGTGGTTAATGAGACAGATCTAGTCATCACAGCTGGGTCCAGTCAACACAAGAACCCCCATTCCAACAAGCACCCATGGTTCAACAGCCCCCCACAATCATCCTGAATGTGAGTGCGCTTATCATGGTGTCCAAACTTGGCTGATGCAGATTATGCTCAAATGTAGTGGCCTGATGAACCAATGGGCTGATTCAGTATAAGGCAACGTTCTATGTCTGTGAGCCGCCCCGAGGCTCCGGCGAATGGGGCGGCATAGAAGTTTACTAAATAAATAAATAATAAATATGTTCTTGTTCTGCAGGGCTGAGGAAAAATCAGAAGGCTGCAATGGCAGAAGCCGTCCTTCATTTACACAGAGGATAGTTTTGGCTGTGTCCTGGAAGCAAATAGTATCTCCTCATCAGACAGCCAGGTGTGCACTCCTTTCTCACGCATCCCCCTGGTACAGTAATTACAACTAACACATAAGGCTGGCTGTCATTACCTGCATTCTCAGGACAAGTCTAAATATTTGGGGGCTTTATATTAATACATTACGCTTCTGGTTTGAGATTGTTGCCAGTGCTAAGCACAAACACTGGAACAACAGGCAATTGTTATTTGCTTTTGTTTTTTCACTTTTGCCCAAGAAGATATATTTTGAATTTTCGTTAGGCTTTGAGGAGTATCGCCATCGCTACATCAGAAAATAAGTCAGCCAGCTGTCTCTCACTGAAAACAGCTTGGTTGATCTGTGTTGTCGCACACCATTATGCAGCACGAAAAGAGTTGTTATTCAGAAAGCTTTCCAACCCCCTTACAAATGAGCTTGCCCAGACCAGACTGCGCTGCCAGTTTAATGGTAATCAGAGACACATTTTGGGAGGGCATTGAGTAGTTGGGTTGAATCTTCTGTGCCAGGATTCAGTCCCGTGGCCTCAATGAAGTTTTAACATTTCTGTCAGGCTTCTTGATTACAGTCTATACTGGAAACTTGTACTGGTTTCAGAAAGAAAAAGAAATGGAACTAGCTCTATTATCAGCAAAAATGGATAGGATATTGTTATGCTTGTCTATTTGGAATTATTCTATTGGGCATAAATCAGATGATCCCTTGGGTTGGACACATGATGAGAGCAAAATCCACTTGGCTTACTGCTTATGCATTTTCATTCTCTTTTATTCCACCCCCACAAAAAAGGCTTTTATAAGGTAATGCCTTGATTAATAATTTCACTTAGTTGCAATAATTTAAGTTTACAGCAAGATTTAATAACCCTCTTTTAACTGCCAGAATGTAAATAAAGAAAGGGCATTGCAGGAGATGATAACTTATTAAAACAGGATTGAAAAAGGAAGTCTTCAGAAATGGTCTATCTTATCTGACATTTCTAGGCTATCATTTAAAACACACTTTATGAAAACTGAGTGCTTTTATGTATCAACCATGGACTATTTCCAAATGTACACTAGATCAACTAAGCTGGGAGAAGTGGACTTCCCTTCCCCTCCTTCCTACAGCAGCCAGGGGAAGCATAGAGTGATCCCCAAAAAGCCAGTGGAGAGAGCTTATGCGTGCAGAGCCATTCTTCTTGCAGAAGGTGCGTTCTTTTTGTGGAAGGCAGATTCTGGATCCAATCCCAAACAGTTATCCAGATTAAAGAGCAACTATTTATCTGGAGCAACTATTTATCTAGTCCCTTGGACAGCAAGGCAATCAAACCGGTCAGTCCTAGAGGAGATCAACCCTGACTGCTCTTTAGAAGGCCAGATGCTGAAGATGAAACTCAAATACTTTGGCCACCTAATGAGAAGGAAGGACTCCCTGGAGAAGAGTCTAATGCTGGGAACAATAGATGGCAAAAGAAGAAGGGGACGGCAGAGAATGTGGCTAGATGGAGTCACTGAAGCAGTCGGTGTGAGCTTAGGTGGACTCTGGGGGATGGTGGAGGACAGGAAGGCCTGGAGGAATGTTGTCCATGGGGTCGCGATGGGTCAGACACAACTTCGCGACGAACAACAACAACAATTTATCTGGATAGTTCAGGATATGGACGAAATTTGGCCAGGGTTAGGGTTAGGGTTAGGGAACGAGGGGAGGCAGGCTGGCACCTAGACACAAACATGGATGGAACTGGACACATTGCAGGATCAAGGGTGCTGTTTGTCAGAAAATCAATCACTTTCAGTCCAGTGTGGCAGAGAGGGAGAGAGAGAGAGCACAATACAGATCAGGCACAAGGAGCAAGATGCAAGCAGTGATCTTTCCCACTGTCATTTTGCAGAGTCTTCTGGCAGCCCGGAAGCAATGTTGCACAGCACATAAACAGGCCTTGGTTTTAATCTAAATCTGCAGAGAAGAATCAAGGAGGGATTTTGGACACAACATTCACCCTGCTTCTTCACTGAGACTCACTGTTATCATTTATGTACCCCATTTCAATATTAATGCATTATTACGTGAGCCTTTCTGATTGGCTATATTGGACCTTATTGAACTGGTCCAAAAAGGGTGGAAACAGTTGGGTCCAACCTTTCCATGTGCCTTATGCAAAGAAACTAAGACAGCAATGATATGGCTGCTAGAAGCTACTGAGACAGCCATAGGAAAGGTCGGAGTTCCAATTATGCAGCTCCAAGGATGGAAGGCAAAGTTTGTTATTCAGCTTTTCACTATTCCTTTTTCTTCTTCCCACATTTCTGAACTCATAAGACATTTAGCATTCATTGCTATGTGTTTCAAACATTTCTATCCAATCTTTCAATGCTATTTTCCAGGAGGCTAATAAAAAAGAAAGCTTAAAACACACCTACTTTAAGTTCTAATGGAAATTTATTAACAAAATATCATGAAACAACAGAAGTCAATGCAGCTGTAAAGGCAGCAGGATTATAAGGGCAAAAATCCATCCAGGAAAAGAACTGGAGGATTTTTCCCTCCAGTTATTTATTCCCAGCACTGAATGTTAGCACTGCGCAAAAGCCTCTGAGAAAAACATGAACAGGACACAATACCAGGGAGGCCCATCTCCAGTTGCTACTTGCCTTACCGCCAAAGGCAGTGGCAGTACCCAGAAGCACCCGGCTGATGCAGATCCCAGAGAGAGCTCAGTAAGCATCATGAGGCATCAAACTTGGTTGGATATTTGTATCCCACAAAGTTTCCCTTACTTTTGCCTACTTTTTGATGTCTCCAAAACATGTCCAAACGTGGACCTATATCCAAAGACACTTAACAAAATGATGCAGAAGGCAGATGCTTTAGAAGGGACAGTTCAGGTGATGAAAGAGTTAATAGCCCATAAATGGTGCCAAAAGAAAATCATTTATGCCAAAAATAAAGAGCCATGAAGGGTTCAGCTCTAACGTTTGCTTTTAAACAAACACATAGCCTATTCTCCAAAGAGCCTACTTTGCTCTAATGAATGAAAAAGTTTATTCTATGTGGGATGTTATAAAATGAATCACTAATGGTAACATGTAGTATCTTCCAAAATTTTAAGAAATGTGAGCTCTTGCTTTCTACATAAAAAAAAATGTTACCAGACAACAGGCTTATCATAACAAAAGCCACAACCATTATTTATATGTCGACACAGTGTGTTACATCCCTGTCTTTTTAGGGTCTTATCATAATCAAAAAGCGAGCATGCCAAGAAAAAAGAAAGAAAGTTAAATATTTGGATCTAAGAATGCAGCAGCCATTTACCACAGGAAAACAATATGTAGGATGTAGAATGGAAGGACTTAACAGAGTAACACATAAAATAGAAGCATCAGTGGAGGCATCCATCATGGTGAATGTGGAGGATACTGCACATACAAGCCTAGATAAAACCAGAAATGAGCTAAGCAGATAGCATCACTAAATGCAGGCAACACAGCAATCCTATGCATGTTTACTCAGAAGTAAGTCCCACTGTGTTCAGTGATGCTTCTTTGCAGGTAATTGTGCAAGGATTACAGCCTAAGGCAACTTCCACCAAAGCAATATGATATAATTTAATGGCTGTGTTCTCTTTTTATCACCAGTGTGAAATTTCGCATCAGAGACAAATATGGTGCAAATGATCCATGATATTTTAATACAGGAATCTACAAAGTAGAACCTGAAGCAAAAACTGTATTTTATAATCAAGCATCACAGCAGTCACTATTTTCAGGATTTTTAAAGTTCCAGAAATGAAGAGCTTGCTTCTATAGCGTCAGTAAGCTATAGATTGCTCAGACCATGAAATTCATGAAATTATACTCAATTAACCAAAGATAGATGCTATCTGAAATTATATCTTTGGTTTTCCTGATGAAGAACAATGGTATTTTGATGAACTAGCACTTGGAATACTTACTCAAGATATGTACTTTTCTTATGTTCACATGGATGGAGAAAAAGGATGAGATTATTCATATGTAACATAGTAAGATCTTTTTGAATCCTGTGCTAGAAAAATTAATACAAGCTACACACTAAAAAAAAAATGGAAGTTGTGATGGGCACCCTCAATGCCATTGCTACAAGCTTGACATCTGCGAGGCAAGATCAAAATGTCAAATGTCACGTGACTAAAGA